CATCGTCCACCCAGCGATTCGAAAGCTTTGGCGAGTAGATAAAATGGGAACCACTCCTTAGAGTGGGTGGGCACGCCAATCTCTCTTGTGGGAGGGTGTTAGTTGACAGTCGGACGTCCTGGTTGAGGCTTGGAAGGCAAAATAGCTTCTCGGCTACGAAAGAATCCCTGCAATGGATGTTCCGGCCAGGTGGTGGCAGTGTGGCGATTGACATACGGGTCCTGAAGCCTAGCCAACAAGCAGCTGTGCGGAAAAAAACGGAGCCAAGCCAGAAGACGTCTCTACCGGGCAGTGATGGCGTGTGCAATTAAAAACGAATATATGTTGTCTTCCCTATCCCCTACAAACATTGTTAGTCCCTTGTCTATATTGAGTAACTGTACATCACTTTGAGCCCACTGGGGAAAGCGATTAATAAATGGAAAGTATTAGTAGTAGAAGTAGTAGTAGTAGTAGTAGGAGTAGTAGTAGTATGTACTATCTTGCTCTCACTAAGTTGCTCTATGTGTAACACCATTTTCTGCATTATTCAACATACACCATCAAATACTTCAAGTATTGTTTCAGATTTACATTGCTTATTAGGTTTTTCATCCTACTAATTGCATTCAGTTACAGTGTGATATTTGCAAGAAAGGTAAATTAAGTAAATACATTGATAATAATAGGTTGGATCCAGACTAGATCTGCAATTTCCATAAATTTCACATTCCTTCTGGAGAACCCTCTCACATAATTCTTCATTGTAATCTATTCTCCCAAGGACAGCATTTTTGTGAAGATCAGTGGGCTGCAGTGGGAGAGGGGAGGCAGGAAATTTCCATTCTGCCATTGGAAAATTTAGTCTGGATCAAAACCCAATGAATAAGCCTTTCCCCTTTTGCTATTTTTTCGATTAGTAATCTAAAAAATACACATTCCTAGTTTTGGACCCAAAATGGTGTACTGACCACTGGACTACCCAGGATGGAAATAGGAACCAGAAAGTAGGGAAGGTACCACTTGCCTTACCACACTTCCTTTTTACCTGGTTCATCCCTCTCCCACCAATGCCCCCACCTCATTTCCCAAACACACTTCAAATGCATTAAACTGGCAAAAAAAAATAAAAATAAAATGTGACAAGGTGGAAAAAACACCAAGATATAACTTTGCTCAAGCCTGCACTGTTACTAACTTAATCACAGGGATGGGACTGATCAGATGGTTCTTTATAATGGAGCTTACATCCTCCAGAGGAAAGTGTTGATTCCATTATGCCATTTAGATGCTATTCCAGGCAAAGGGGTTATGGTTGGTGACATTTGGCTCTCACAAAACTGGCAGGATAATTTTTTCAAATACCTAAGAAATTAGATGGGGCTAGTGCTTTTTCAGTGATGGGAATCACTGGTACTGAACACTGGTACCTTTATTGGGGCTCCCCAAAGTAGGGATGGGTATGAACATTGTCATGAAACGAATTCTGTCACAAACATCACCTGGTTCACGGTTCATGAGCCTTGGTTCATGAGATCATGTCCCCCACAAATTGCCCACAAGCCACCATGTTTTTCACAGAGGTTCATGCAGTTCATGACAGTCGTTCGTGAGCCAGACATGCTGGCTCCAATGAGTTAATTGCAAAGCAACAGGGAGGGATGGACTTCTGCAGCCTTTCTGCAGCCCTGGAAATATCAACAGTGGCCCTCCAAAGCCTGACAGGCAGCTCTGGCTGCCATCAAGAGAGCTCTATGGGAGCAGAATGGATGTAAACCTCCAGCTCACATGTAACTCTTTCTACTTGACAGCAGGCAGTCACAGAGGGAGTTAACTGTTAGAGGCAGAGAAGGAAGGAACTGGAAGTCATTATTCAGTACTGGGAACAGTGCTTACTAAAGCCAAGCAGAGAGGCTCAGCCAGTGGGTTCCTTGGCTGAGGACCCATACAGTCCCCCTCGGTGGGATTTTTGCACAACTGTCCCTGCCCAGGGTGGTGTCTGGTGGACTTAGGGCTCTGACCCACCACCTGTTCCTCGGCTACAGCCAGGCAGAGGTGCTGAGCCAGTGGGTTCTTTGGCTGAGGACCCACCCTCCTGCCTAATTGTCAACACACCTCTGTGCCATGAGGGTGAGAGTGGGGGACAGAGATGCTTGTCATGGAGGAAAGTAGTCCACCCCCCCCCATCCCACAGGCTCCCATCCCTGTGGAACAAACCCATCCTGCCAATTCACCAATCCCAACTGTACTGGGGTGTCACCAGGGGTATCAGAGGCAAAACCTCTTATGCCCAATGTGATCATGGGGATGGACTCAGAAGCAGAAGAGCTATTGGCACTGCCAAAACCAGAGCAGTTGCTAAAACCCTCCCCAATAACCCCTGTGTGGTAGAGTACCGGGAGGGTGCAACCTCCAGATGCGGAGGGACTCAAACACCCACCACCTATCATACTCCATCCTCTTCAGGTACCTGCAAAGGGTGGACCCAAGACTGTTGCCTCCAGAAAAATATAGTGGCACCCAGCAGGGGGAAGAAGAGGCCCACTGGTGTACTGGTCCCCTGGAGTACTGGTCACACAGTGCTGCCATCTGGCCCAACCTGTCCTGTGTGGCCATGAGCTTCCTATCCTGCCTCCATCAGTGTCCAGAGTAAGTGAGTGCTGTCCCATCTGGGAGACATCCTCAGCCCCCACCACGCTTATCTGGACCCAGCCCTGGTGAATGAGTTGGCCTTCCTGGAGGTCAGCCTCCCCCTGCTGGGTGACCCTTCTGTGGACCTTGGGAAGTAAAGTTCCAGGACCCCATGTTCCCCCTTCTCCACATTTATCATTTCACCATATCTGTCCCCCTCCCCCAAGAACTGTTGCTTCCAGCCTCCCCCTGTACATTTACACCTCCATCTCTGGGGCCGCTGCTTGGAGTCTGTCATGGACTTGGCAGGACACTTTTCAGTTTGAAGGCTACTCTGCCACTCACTAGCCTGCCCCATTTTGGAGAAGGATTTTGGGTGTCGCCACTCTT